AATCTTTGTTTGACCTCTTGGCTATGTGACAGGCCTGTTATGGGTACACTGCTGATGGGGCGGCATTGATGGTGGCTCTATAATGGGCACACTGATTATTATTTTATACAGTATTTATAAAGCGCCAATGGTTCGCTCAGCGCTGTACATGTACAAAGGGAGACAGAACATGTGACAGAACAATACCAATACAATGCAAAAAAACATGAGGGGATCGATTAGGCTGCACTTATGACAGGTACATTGATAGCTGCATTGGTGAATGCTTTGACAGGTACATGATAGACTTCCCTGATGGATGTGCTGACAGGTACACTGATGGGCTGCTGGACAGATCATTGATGGGCTGTGCTGACAGGTATGTGATGGGCTGTGCTGACAAGTACGCTGACGGGCTGTACTGACAGGTACACTGACAGGCTGCACTACAGGTACACTGGTCGGCTGTGCTGACAGGTGCATGATGGGCTAAGCTGACAGGTACGTGATGGGCTGTGCTGACAGGTACGCTGACAGACTGGCGACAGGTATCGCTGATGGGCTAGCGACAGTTACGGCTGATGGGCTAGAGCAGTGGTCGGCAAGCCGCGGCTCGCGAGCCACATGTGCAACGGCTCTTTACCCAGTCTAATGCGGCTATGTGTGCCGGGCGCCTGCTCCCCTCCCTCCCTCTCGGTCGGCCGCTCCCCTGCTCTTGCTGGGTTGGCAGCCCCAAAAGTCCGCGGGCGGACAATCCTTTTAATCCAGCTGCGGATGTGGCTGTCAGGATGTGTGTAGGCGGGCGCAGCGTGCCGAACGTGAGGGGAGGGGAGCTAGGCTCCTCTCACAGTCCGCCCTGAAGACCTAGGCGAAACGGCGCGGGAAGACAGCGAGAGGAACGCAAAAGGTAAGTGAATTGACACGGGGGACTTGGCTTACTAGAAGGGGGGGGGGAATAGTACTGTGGGGGTGAAATACTATATGAGGGATGAATTACTTTATGAGGGATGAAATACTATATGGGGGGATGAAATACTATATGGGGGGATGAAATACTATATGAGGGATGAAATACTATATGAGGGATGAATTACTATATGAGGATGAATTACTATATGAGGGATGAAATACTATATGGGGGGATGAAATACTATATGGGGGGGATGAATTACTATATGAGGGATGAAATACTATATGGGGGGATGAAATTACTATATGAGGGATGAAATACTATATGGGGGATGAATTACTATATGAGGGATGAATTACTTTATGAGGGATGAAATACTATATGGGGGGATGAAATTACTATATGAGGGATGAAATACTATATGAGGGATGAATTACTATATGAGGGATGAAATACTATATGAGGGGATGAAATACTATATGGGGGGATGAAAAAGTACTATATGGGGGATGAAATACTATGAGGGATGAAATACTATATGAGGGATGAAATACTATATGAGGGATGAATTACTATATGAGGGATGAAATACTATATGAGGGATGAAAATACTATATGGGGGGATGAAATACTATATGGGGGGATGAAATACTATATGGGGGGATGAAATACTATATGAGGGATGAATTACTATATGAGGGATGAAATTACTATATGGGGGGATGAAATACTATATGGGGGGATGAAATACTATATGAGGGATGAATTACTATATGAGGGATGAAATACTATATGGGGGGATGAAATACTATATGAGGGATGAATTACTATATGAGGGATGAAATACTATATGGGGGGATGAAATACTATATGAGGGATGAAATACTATATGGGGGGATGAAATACTATATGAGGGATGAAATACTATATGGGGGGATGAAATACTATATGAGGGATGAAATACTATATGAGGGATGAAAATACTATATGAGGGATGAATTACTATATGGGGGATGAAATACTATATGAGGGATGAAATACTATATGAGGGATGAAATACTATATGGGGGATGAAATACTATATGGGGGATGAAATACTATACGGGGGATGAAATACTATACGAGGGATGAAATACTATACGGGGGATGAATTGCTATGGGGGATGAATTACTATATGGGGGATGAATTACTATGGGGGATGAATTACTATATGGGGGATGAATTACTATATGGGGGATGAATTACTATGGGGGATGAATTACTATGGGGGATGAATTACACTATGGGGGATGAATTACTATATGGGGGATGAATTACTATGGGGGATGAATTACTATATGGGAGATGTATTTTCAGTTTTAAAAATGTGGCTCTCAAAATAAATTTCAATCATGGTTTTGGCGAGATTTGGGCTCAGTTGAAAAAAAAAAAGGTTGCCCACCACTGGGCTAGAGACAGGTACTCCGATGGACTGGCGACAGGTATGCTGATGGACTGGTGACAGGTATGCTAGTGGGCTGTCAACAGGTACGCTGATGGACTAGCGACAGGTACGCTGATGGGATAGCGACAGGTACACTGATGGGCTAGCAACAGGTACGCTGATAGACTGACAACAGGTATGCTGATGGACTGGTGAAAGGTATGCTGATGGCCTGGCAAGAGGTATGCTGATGGGCTAGTGACCTGATGGGCTAGTGACAGGTACTCTGATGGACTGGCGACAGGTATGGTGATGGATGGACTGGCGACAGGTACGCTGGTGAGCTGGCAACAGGTACGCTGATGGACTAGCAACAGGTACGCTGATGGGTTAGCGACAGGTACGCTGATGGGCTAGCGACAGGTATGCTGATGGGCAAGCGACAGGTACGCTGATAGACTGGCAACAGGTACGCTGATAGACTGGCGACAGGTATGCTGATGGGCAGCTGTGACAGGTACACTGATGGGCAGCTGTGACAGGCAACCAGGGCAGTGTGGTGCACAGTAATGTATGCTGTAACTCAATGTTCCCCTTCTCCTTCTCACACAGGATCCGTGTATGAGGAGCAGAAGTGGTAGCAGTAAGTTACCGCTGTTTGTTTATACTTGTGATGGGCTGTGATAGGACACAGCTAATCACATGGTACACAGCCAATTTCTTTGGCTGTTTACCTGCATCAGCGAAGCACTGTGTCCATGGAACACAGTAGACTAGAGATCGGCGTGCTGCGTGCCACCGGAGGTGTGCTCAAGTGGCATGACCAGGAGGATGTCATATGACGCTCTCCCGAAGAGATGAGAGGCCCGCCCGGCCATAATTTTACCATAGATTGGGCAGGAACAGGTTAAAGACTGGTCCCACACACTCCCCATTAAGGATTGGCACCTTTGGGGAACAGAGGGGAGCGGGTACTCGAAATTGACAGGTACCCGCTCCCACTTCCATTGTGATCGCCTAGGTGATCGGAAGCGGAAAGTTTTCCACCCCCCCACCCTCCCAGTAGTCTTCTGGGACACGCGACAGGTCCCAGAAGACAATGGGACCATTCACAAAGTGCAGTGTGCAGTGGGCACCCAGCTGTGAAGCCGCAAGCTGTCACATATGGGTGCCCACACTGAAGATGCGGGCACTGGGAATACCGGACAGCTGATGAAATGTGCTACGGGGAGGACACCAAGGGACAGGTAAGTGGCTGTTTTTTAAAAGTCAGCAGCTACAGTTTTTGTAGCTACTAACTTTTTTTTACAGTGTGACCGGAACTTCACTTTAAGGGGAGAACATTTTTGCATCATCATCTTGGGCACCAAAGACCTTATTCCAGCGTTGACCTCTACTATCGTATAACAGCTGAGGATCCCAGATCCTTCTGAATATTCCACCTTGGTCTGAGTATTTTTAGCCTTTTTGTACTGTTGGATAGAATGGGGAAGAGCTAGAACCATTTTTTACATCTTCTGTTGTCCATAGTACAGAGAGTTTACAAACCTTGACATGGACAGTGAAAGAAAAATCAACAGAGGTTTTTACCCTTTTTCATTCAACACTGAAGATCTACATATACTACCTGCCTAATACTTTTTAGATTTCTATGATTGTTTTATACCATTCAGAGCCTCATCCCTTTATAAAGTGCTGCACTGCATGGAACAGTCCTATACAGCACTGATCACATGCTCCATTTACAGCACTACAGTGCATTGTTGTGCATTGAAAGTAAGGTAAGACACACATGACTTATTTTCACCACAGCCTGTTGTGACACACGACATCACATCACAATGTGCTACAATGCATGCAGGTAAATGAAATATATTTTTAAATTATACATACATAAAATAAAAACAATCACACTGCAGAGCTGTGTTAGCTTTACTGGTGTGAAAGGACCCTAAATTGTAATAACTTTTATTTTCTGCAAATGTTTCAATGCTAGAATAAATGCTTTTTCATCAATTTTATAGACATTACATATTTACAAATAAATCATGCAAGTAAAAATAATTTGACTGTAAAAGCATATCACTGAATTTTTTTTAAAATTCAGATAGAACTCACACAGACAGTAATTACACTACTTAAATGAGAATAGACTGTAAGTTGTAGATGAAAACTAGGCATCATTTTTTTTTTAGCACATATAATGATTTTATCAGACGTATATAGTAGGTGGAGTCTGCTGACAGCCAATATAATTTGAAACACTTTGCATAGAAAGGTGTGGTTTATATACAGAGTATATCTATGAGAACAAGAAGGATTCTTCTATACTGTAGTTCTTTTTTGTTGAGTGATTCCTCATCATCCTGATCATGTTCTGGGCTGTCTTCACTTTCATCACTTATTTTTCCTGTAATTAATATTTTGTAGTTTATTAAGATTACTGCAATAAAATATACTAGGATTTTTTTACTATTTTCATTCTCTAATTTTTATTGCAGATTCTGTGGCTCAGTTTAATGTCATCCAGGAACCCACAATAACCGCATCTCTTGGTGGTAATGTCATTTTGTCCTGTGGTCGTAGTGATGGCTCTGTAGCTGGTAGTAACCACCCCAAGCTGGGTATATCAGTCACCTGGGAGTGTTCCTAAAGGTTTAACAGGTAGTAATGGAGCCAGTAATCATAATGTAAAACCCCCAGGAACCTCTGAACGTTTTACTGGATCCATCCAAGGAAGCTCAGGCGTTTTGTCTATCAGTAATGTACAGGCTGCAGATGACGGGGATTATTACTGTGCTCTATGGACTGGAAGTGCATGCACAGTGCTACAAATTCACACACAGCGAGACACTAATATAAACTTCCCCTTTTGTTCCTCATACATACTTGTTTAAATATCTAAAGAATAATAAATAATCAGTATGTGTAGCAACCTCACAGAATATTCTTTTCACTGGTCTGAGAGCAGCTAGAGTAGTTATAAATGGTTTCTATTCATTACTGTTCTAATTGTGTACACTTTTATATTGCATCTTTCATTGAGCATTATAATGATTTGTGAGCTTCTAAAAAACAAATGGCAGAATTCTGTGAGCAAAGATGGGAACTGAAGTAGCCTAAGCTTATAAATCCATTTTTTTATCAATTTGGTTCAAAATTATGACAAAATAATACAAAGATGGGAACTGAAATTTCTAGTATGGTGTCTTCCCAATACCAAAAAGAAAGTTCTGGTGGAATTGAGCTTCAAAGGACCAGCAGAATATTTATAAAACATTTGTATATGTTTTAGGACATTTCATCAAATGTCCATTAAAATGCTATTCTGTCAATCAGGAGTGTAACTAGGATTGTGAAAGACCTGGGACATGCTTAGGAAGGCAATGACGCAACAATAGTATCATTACACTGTTAGGTTTTTTTCTTTATCTGTGTCTCATTGGGGAGATTTCCCTTTACTTCCTGTCCCATTGTCTCAAGAAGTGAAAAAAAATCCCCTAAAGGGAAATTCCAAATTCCCCCCCAAAAAATAGTTCCATCGTTGTAATCCATTGTCATTTATAGTGTCCAGCGTTGTCATTACGACGCTGACTCGCCGAAATTAAAGAAAAACCTGCTGCCCGCCAACCCGTCCCAACACCCGACATGCACTCTCCGCAATATGACAGTTCTGACAGTTGCCGGTCAGACGTAACAAGTTGGGCAGAGCTTGCGGTGACATCGGCGATGTTTACATGTGACTGGCAACTGTCAGACCTCTCATATTGCAGCGAATGCATGGCGGGTGCAAACTGGTCGCTGGGCGTCAGGTTTTTTTTTATATTGGCAAGTTGCCGGCATCATAACAACGCTGGACGTGGTGATTGACGATGGATTACAACGATGGAACCATTTTTTTTTTAATAAAGAACTTGTCAAAAACTTTTGTTTTGTTTTTTGTTCAGTAGGAAGGAATTTTTCATTTTTTTGGGGTGGGGTTCCCCTTAAAAGTCCTACCAGGCCTAAAGGGCCTGGTATGGCTTTAGAGGTAACCTCACGCACTTTTTCTTAAAACTTTTTACTGTGGGGTCCCTTCTAACCTTCCTACCAGACCTAGAGGGCCTGGTATGGCTTTTAGGGGGAACCACATGCACTTTACCCCTCCCCATTTTTGGGAGGTGGGGGTTCCTCTTAAAAGCCTTACAAGGCCTAAAGGACCTAAAGCTCCCCTGCCTGCAGACCCCCACAACCCTGTTACTATGCCAAGGGCATGTGGCGCATTTGTCCCTCCCTGCCTTTCCTATAGGGCCTGGTATGGATTGGGGGGGGGGGGGGGGGGTCCACACTGTTTCTTTTTTTAATGTATTTTCAGTTTTATTTTTATTTGTTCATTTTATATATTATTTTTAATTATTATTATTTATTTATTTCAGGGAGTGTATTCTCTCCTCTGTCTTCGGCAGTGTCCAGCAACACATTGCATAAGGCTGTGTAAGCAGCCTTATATAGTGTGGAGTGGGGACTGTGCACTGTGAGAGTGCACGGCATTGTGGTCTGTTTGGCGGGAGAACAGTTGGTGGTGCCTTCACACTGTAACCCTTCAGAGTTATTCTTGATGAGTGCAGGATTGGATCCTGCTGTAAACTTTTTAATTATTTGCACCTGTCACACAGATTGTTTAAAAAATGGTCCTTGGGTGTTGGTGCTTCTGCACTGTAACCCCTTACAGCTACTTTTGATGAGTGCAGGAATTGGCACTGCTCTAAAAAACTGAAATGATATACACCTGTCACACTGGTGTGAAAAAATTGGGCCTTGGGTTTTGATGGTGCCTGAACACTGTAACCCCTCACAGTTACTCTTGGTGAATGCAGGAATGGGCCCTGCTGTTAAAAATTGTTAAAAATTAGAAAGAAATTGTAAAAAAAAATAAATTACATGCGTCTCTCAAACAGGTGCAGAAAAATTTGGCCTTGGGTGTTGATGGTGCCTGAACACTGTAAGCTCTTACAGTTACTCCTGCTGGGTGCAAGAATGGGCCCTGCTGTTAAAAATTGTAAAACATTTAAATTACCTTGGGTCTTGGGCCTTGGGTGTTGGTGGTGCCCTAAACCAAAAACATTGTTGGAAGCTAGCATAATCAGGAATAAGATAGGCAGCATATGCAGTCTTCAAGGGGTCCCAGATCCCTAACAAATTTAATCAGTTACATGAGCATAAGGGGCTTGATAGCTGCTGTTGATCCAGGACTTATTCATTTTGGACAGACAAACTCTTTTATCCATCACAAAACCTCCAGCAGCACTGAATGTCCGTTCGGAAAGCACGCTGGATGCAGGATAAGCTAGTAGCTCGATTGCATACTGAGCAAGTTCTGGCCAGTAACCTAACGGATCCTCAGTTGTAAAGGTCTCAAAGTCTGCTCTTGCCCCTTGATAATCCTGCACTATAAGATGCAGACACTGCCGATGGGTGCTTAAACCTAACAGCCCTGGGCACTGAGGACTACAGAATTGTTTACATTGGTCAGCCGGACACCTTCTTCACTGCTCCTCCTTTGACTGAACAAAGCCCCAGAAACACGTTGTCCATAAAATGGTAACCTCCCAGTGTCTGGAAAGGTGTTACACAAATTTTTCTTCAAAGCGTCCTCAAAATATTTCATCCTCTGCTCCCTCTGCGAAGGCAGGATGAGTTCTGCAACTTTACCCTTGTAACGTGGATCATGAAGGGTTGCCAACCAGTAATGATCCCTCTCCTTGATACCACGAATCCTCGGGTCCTTTCGCAGGCGAACTGACCCTGTGGGGTCGAGGCAAGGAGGTGAGGGGGTACTCAGGTCACTGAAGGATTGATCACGAATTATACACAGTCACTTGCATGACAGTTGGATTGGAGCACCTTCATTGGATTATATATAGTGTATATATTTATATGCACTGTGTGTGGACTGTTTTGAGGTTTATATTGATTTTTGTGAGAGTCACTATTGCAATTTTTGTGTGAGTCACTATTGTAGTATTTATCACTTGCACTTTGCTATATTCCCTTAGTGGGAAGCCACGTGTTGCACAATTTGTGGGTTATCCCTGTTTTGTGTGTTTTTAAGGTGATTGAGTGCGTCACATTATTTATTATTTGTTTAGTATTTATTTAGCGCTACACTTTTTTGTATATATGACCCACCTCTTCATGAATATAGAAATATCTATGCAGTCTGAGGCTGTGTTAGGAAAACAGCGACATCTTGTGGCTAAACTGCAGAATGTCAGTCAAAACATTTAATTTACTCCACACAAGCAGTATTCAAACAATGAGAGCTGTTTCCCCATCTCGCATAACACCCCCACTAGAGGTTGTCGTCCTCGGCAACCCTCCCCATACAAACTCATTCTGGGCATAATGCTGTGGGGGCACACCAGCATTGGGCCTTGTTGACCTTCGTAGAGTGACAGGCTCAGAAGCACTGGGGACGTCAGGCACATTTACTGGGAGAGGAGCTGCTGACCGCTCAACACTTTTCCTTGGTGGCAAACTTGCTATGGTTGGAGCCTCTGTGGGTATCGGGGCAGGGACACCCACCATTCCTCCCCCTCCTCTAACGGGATTTCCTCAGTATTCTGAGCAGAAGGAGCCATCCCCTCCACGCACACTGGTTCATCAAAATTACAATGCCTCAACATGTTACGGTGCAAGTTTCGTGAGGGCCCCCCAGTCCCTATTGGCTCTACCTCATAGATGGCAGGGTCTACCCTCCTCTTCACCGTGTATGGGACCGCCTCCCACCGCCCATCCAACTTTCCAGATGGCCGCTTGGCTTTGATTATCACTCGATCACCCGGGGCATACCCCTCCTTCTGCACTGGTCTTGGATTGGGGTATACCACTTGTCTAAGGCGCACCCCCACAACCTTGTGGATCGCTCTCAGCTCTTGCACCCAGGCGGTAATATTTCTCGGTGGTGGCTCCATCGGATCAGGCATTTGGAGATCTTCAATCTCCCGTCCGGCTCTCCCAAACATGAGCATATGTGGGGAGTATCCGGTGGTACTGTGTACCCTGTTCTTATAGGCCCACATAAGTTCAGGTAGGTATTCTGGCCACCAAGCTTTTTGATGGTCCTCCAGAGTCCGCAGCATCTGGAGCAAGGTGCGGTTGAACCGCTCGCACACCCCGTTTCCCTGGGGGTGGTGCGGGAACGTTCGATCCCATACAGTTGTTACAACCCATTGATTAGAGTACCCTGAAAACATGCCCCCTGGTCCGAATGTATTCTCTGTGGGCACCCGAACACCTGTATAAAGGGTTTGCAGTCCGCTTCAGTGGCCGACTCTGACTTCTGGTCTCTGGTGGGTACAGCCACTGCATACTTTTTGTGAAATGATCTGTCATGACTAGACAGTACGAGTGTCCCGAGGTAGAGTACCCAATCTGTACATAATCGATCATAAGGAGCTCTAGGAGTGCTGATGTCCGGATGGCCTGGACAGGAGCCCGCTGTTCAGTACTCTTACTCAGCCCGCAGGGCCGACACTTAAGACATGCCTCGGCCACCATGTCTGCCAAATTGGAACAGTACACGAGCCGTTGGAGCCACTTGAACGTTTTATCGCTCCCTCTCATGGGCCTCCCGGGCAGCCTCCGGTCCCAATGACATGGGGATGACAATCTGTGACGCCACCCCACTTGAATGTGCCACGTCCCGGAACATGGGTATTCGACCAAAGTCAGGAGTTTCAGTGTCCTCTAGCTCCTCATTGGCACTCTGAGCTGACAACCCTACAGGACTCGGGAGAGTGCGTCAGCGTTGCCGTTCTCCCTACCTGACCGGAACTTGATGCACTATTGGTACTTAGAAAGGCGAGCCAACCACCTCTGCTCAAGCGCACCAAGTTTGGCATTTTCCAGATGTGCT